AGCAAACCCACTGCAACCAGTGGGTGTGCAGCCAGGTTTCCCTCGCTTTGGTTGTCGGATGATTTCTTTATGAGATAGAAGACTGCTTAGATAAGAGTTCTCTTATTATGTCTCTTGAAAGAGAAACTGTCTGGTTGTGTTCCTTAAAGCCATGAAAAATCATTTTAAAAAATTTTTTTAATGGAAGCACTTGGAAAGAAAACTATTAAAAATTGTTATTCCATTTGTAGAATTGTTACATTCACTCTGATTTTATTTTAATCTTCCCTAATGCTACATCAGATGATGAGTTCGTTTGTACCCAAGATGCAAGGTCACAAGTTAACCAAGATATTTCACTGTCAGCTCCAAATGGACCCCGCGTGTTGAAGTCATCCGCTTTCTCAGTAGCAGGGTGATGCTGAAAGGTGAAGCATGACTCCCAAGACGTAGCCAGATGACTGTTAGAAAATGCAGTTTCAGCTGAAGACGTCTCTCTTTTTACCCTCAGCCGGTCTTCGTGTTTGTCAATTTAGCAGGAAGCTGGAATTGAGTAAGCTATGCCAACCAGTTTTTAGTTAAGAAAGAGCCCTTGACAGGCACAGCTTCTTTGACTACAACTGTTTGTTTTGATATGACTATTAACCTTTCACCTACTTTACCAAAAAAAAAGAAGAAGAAGAAGAAGAGGGATGGGGTAGGAGGGACCCACGAGCCAGATAGTTACAGCCGAGATGGTCACCGGGAGAAAGATTAGGAGAAAGAATTTTACTGCAAGTCATCCCTAAAGGGAGAGCCCTCCTCAGTACCCTTTCTGGAAATTTGTGGGTGAGCACTGCCATCCTTCCTGCGACAAGGACACACTAAACAGACTCTACTCTTAGCTGGTGGCAGCGGGTGACCTGTGACACCACTGCTCCTGGGAAGCACAAAGGCCATCACTCCAAAGCTGTGTTTGCGGCTACACTTGTCTTGATAGGCAGTTTCCCTTCACTTCAAACGGCTACATTGTCGTTTTGTTGCCATCAAATCGATTCCAACGCATGGTGACCCCATGCCTTCCAGAGTAGCACGGCTGGCTCCGTAGGGTTTCCCTTTTGGGAGGGGTCCCCAGGCCTGCCATCTAAGGGGCCAGTAGGTGAGTTCAAACCACCGAGGACATTTCAGCCAGTAGTGGAGCACTTAACCATCCGTGTCACTCAGCCGCCGCCAAGGGCTGCCATCAGTATCTTCTAAAAAGAAACTGTCACACAGACTCGCCCTATCACCTTAGCTCGGCTTGGGCTGCAGCTGCACACCTCAGGGCGGACCTTTACTGACTTGAAATGGAACCGCTTGGAGGGCCCTCTCAGGAGGTTTATGTAAACAGCAAGGAGGAGGGGCTCCCTTGCTTGTGGAGAGTGGTTTGCAAGTCCAACCTGGAGTGTGGAGTGGTGTAGAAAAGGCCAGTTGTCCCCCCTCCCTGTTGAACATTCTTTCTCTGCGAGGAGCAGCATTCCCTGCAGGCGGCTGCTGGCCACCTGTTAAAGCTCCTGTTCCTGCCTCTTGTTGCTGACTTGGGCAGCTGTCTCTCCAGACCCTAGAGGTGTGGCTAGTTTGGAAGGAAAACGTGCATCCTTTAAAGCTCTTGGTTTGTGGGCTGTGTTGTTGTTTGGTTGTTAGACGCGCCGGTTGAGTTGACTCTGACTCTGAGCGACCTCACAGGTGAGAACTGCCCCCATAGGTTTGTCTAGGCTGCAGCCTTCACACGGAGGAGCAGCCCTGCTAGTGCAGCGGGTAAGTGCACCCCGACCGTCGGCACTTGAGACCCACCAGCTGCTCCTCCGGGAAGAGGCCTGGCAGTCTGCTCCAGTAAAGAGGATAAACCTTGGAAAGGAGCTGGGGGGACGGGGGCGGGCGGGAGCTTCTAGTCTGTTCTATCAGGTCTTTATGAGTGGAAACCAACTTAACTGCACACAACAATGGTCACCCATGCAGATCCCTCGGCCTTCCTCCTGCACAGGCTCTCCCTCTCTGGCATGCTGACTCATGGCGACCCTGTAGGATAGGACAGGGTAGAACTGCCCTGTGGGTTTCTGAGACTGCAATTCTTTACCAGAGTAAAAAGCCTAGTCGGACTCCTACAGAGCAGCTGGTGGTTTTGAACTGCCGACCTTGTGTATCACAATGCCAACCAGTGACGATTACGCTAACAGGGCTCTCCATCATGGCCACAGAGACTTTGTGGCAATAACGTTAGCAATCTTTCCGCCCAGAAATTCTTTCTGGGTACACAGGAGGGCTTTAAACAGTTCGGAAGGACAGAATTAAGAGATCATGGAATGTTTCCATGGACTTTGGGAAGCCCCCAGTTTTCTGGTGGACAGGCCCTCCATTGAAAATCGAGGGCAGCGGTATATTAATCAGGTTGGAGTTTACCAACTGGTGATCCCATAGCTCTTTATCCTCAGGTTTATAGCCCTACGGCTTTGTGAGAAGGCTAGACCCCGGTCCTTAGAGCGATTTTAAACACACGTGACTTTCATGATGATTTCTCGGCCCCGTGGGGGCCCCTTCTCAGTTTAGCAGTATGTCAGGAAGACTTAAGGACTAGCAGATGTTTGGGTTAATAAAAACCATGTTTATCTCCTTCCAATGTCTCTGCCCTTTCTGCATAGGCATTTTGGATGGAAAAGAGAAAAAAACACGTCAGGATTTGGCAGCATTTGAAATTTTTGAGTATTCCTTTAGCATTCATTACACGGAGGCAGGGAGCACTGAATTTAAACAAGCTTGGCTTAGCTGAAGGAAGATCGGTGGATCTTGCCCACCTGACGTTTGGAGGCCCTCTCGGTAGCCCCCTCCTTGTGTTTGTAGTTGGCTCTCTCCCACCTCCCTCTTTCTACCCTTCTCAGCCCACCCACCCCCGTCCCAGCTGGAAGGCTGGGTGTAAATGCAGTGTGGGCGTGGGGGCCAGGCTGGGGGCTAGAATAAGGTTGTCATACATGAAGTGGGAGACCGAGCCCACGGGAATGTCTTGGGGTTTCAGAGAGGGTTACCAGGAATCCACGGTGTGCTGTGACGCCTAGGCATCTTCCTCTCACTGTCTGGGGGCGGTCAGGTCTTTGACAACAGAAGTTGGGGGCAAAGATCTCCAGCTCTGCCCTGGAGTCTCTAAGCAGCGTACCTTTCAGTAAATGCAGAGGGCAGCGCTGCATGTAATTAGAACACCGGCCCGGGCTGAATAAAACCTACATGAGCGCCTACTCAAGTCAGTAGTCGTGTGCAGCTTGCATGCCTGTGTGGGGCTCCCTGCTCTGTGGCCACTGCCAGACGGCCCCTGCGGTCAGCGTCGGGACAGCTGTCACCCAAGGTAGGGATAGAGGGTGTCCTACTGCCTCAGTTGCCATTGAGTCACCAGGGCTCCTGGCGTCCTGGGTGTGTCAGGGTAGAAGGGTGCTCCTTACGCCGGCGGAACCAGTCTTTCTCCCAAGGAGCCCCAGGCTGGACTCAGACCTCAAGCTTTTTGGCCAGCAGCCAAGTGTAGCCCCTGGGGATTTCTGTCAGTCCCCATCATCTAGGGGGGTATCTCTCGTATGTGATGTGGAGGGAAGGGTTAGCGCGGCCAATGGACAGGGCACAGAGGGGGGCAGCAAGACCGGGGGCCACAGGCAGGCTGGGCTTTTCCCAAGAAGAGGGTTTTGGACTGGGGCATAGCAATGGGCTCAGAGAAAAGTGCAATTGTGTGGACAGGGCAGAACTGGGGAGGGTTTCCTTCTGTGGCACAGGGGAGGGTCACGGTGAGTCGGAAGTGACTCGGCTCTAGCAAACAGCACAGTGGGTGAAGGAAACGGCAGGGGACGGAGCTGGACAACTGGTGCCTGTGCCTCGAGAGCCGTGAGCTGTATCACGCTAACCAGGGAGGGGTCCCTTGGAGGTTTTCTGAGCAGAGATATGACAAGTGGATGCTGGGAGCAAGCAGCTTGAAAGGTGGGTTTTCGTAGCCATTCTGGAGAAAGAGCAATCCAATCTGCTCAGAAGCTCCTGTCGGTTCTCTGAAAGCTGAGAGCTCTAAGCAGGACAGAGGAGGTGAAAGTGGGGAGAGGGCGACTCGTTCAATGGCAGGTTCAGAGACAAGAAGTAGGTGGAAACAGGATGAACAGACAGCAGTGAGTCCATGAGGGAAAACCGGAAATGAAGCTGTTCTTCCCACCGGGAGAGAGGGTGGGCATGGGAAGGAAGAGGCTCTGTTCGATTTGGAACTAAGCACCGAGGAGCCTCCAAGTGGAGGCCTGCAGGCTCCGGGTACTTGAATACCATTCTTAGCAGAGAAATTGGGGCTGGTTGTGAAAATGCAGGGGCCATTCCTTAATATTATTTCAGATCCATAGGAAGGTAATTTTTTTTTCTGATTGACGAGATAATTTCTTTTTATAAACAGATCATGCTGACACCCACCCTACCCCACCCCCACCCCCACCCCCCGCCTAAAACCCACTGTCATGAAAATTATTTTGATTCTTGGCAACCCTACATCAGGTTTCTGAGGTTGTAAATCTTTCCGGAAGTAGACAGCCTCATCTTTCTCCCACAGAGCAGCTGGTAGCTTTGAACCATTGACCTGTCCGTTAGCAGCCTAACGCTTACCTGGCAGCACTACCAGGAAGAACTTGTGTATAACTATTTTATACTCTGTAACTGAATATTACTGAACTTGTCTCAATTAGGTTTGTGTTGTTTGGATCGAGAGGCCAGGAGAATAAATTACAATCCACCTAACGTGTGTAGATAAAATAGGAAAAGATAGTTTACAATCCAGAGACTCCCTCTGCCTTAATACCTGCATGTAAGACAGTTTCTCTAATGAGACTGCATTTTCAGGGTGGCTTTTTAAATTGCCCTGTTTCCTCTGCTTAAAAGTGATTGTGAAAGTGGCTGGGGAGGCTGAGTTTGAGCTCTGAAGTCAGCCCCCCACCACCACCCTACCCTACCCCCACCCCCACCCCACCCCGCCCTCACCGGGACCCGGCACTGTGTTGCAGGCACATCTTCTTCTTGCACATAAAGGAGTCCCTCCTGGCCGGCCACCTCCAGTGTTCCCCAGAGCAGGCCGTGGAACTCAACGCCCTCCTGGCCCAGACCAAATTTGGAGACTACAACCAGAACACGGCCAAGTACAACTATGAGGAGCTGTGTGCCAAGGAACTCTCCAGCGCTGCCCTCAGCAGGTGAGGAGGCTGCGCCTCGGGTGAGCAGGCAGAGTCTTGGATCGCTCACGTTTAGAAGAACATGCAGAGGGAAAGGAGCTTGGGGTAATACACAGGCCATTTGTGAGGTCCAGCCTTTCCCCCAATTATTTTCAAAAGCTTCTTTGGTCTTTCCCTCCCAGAAACCTAGAAACTCGAGACATAATCCCCCCAAAGAAATGTCCTTGTATGAAGCACTATCTGTAACTAGAATGGAGAAGAAATCCCTGACCTTTTAAGAATGCAAATCTCCTGCAGTAAAATTGTCCGTGTATATTTGGTGTGCTTGCTTCATACCAATAAGAATTAAGCCAAGAAGGCCAACAGTGGTGTATGCATCCATTATTCCTGTGCAACAGATTATCCAAAGCCGAGTGGCTTCAAACTGGGCATTCTTGCTCAGCCCTGTGGGTCAGGAGTCTGGGTAGAGTTGAACCAGATCAGCCAGCTCAAGGTCTCTTGGGACACTGTCACCACACTGTTGGTAGATGCCACTCAGCTGAAGGGCTCAACTAGGGAGGGACTACTTCAGGCTCACTCATACGGCCTTGTTCCCTCACCATGGGGGCTCCCTCCCCAGGACAAGGTGTCCTAGCCCCAGGACACAACATTTTGATAACCTAATCCCAGAAGTGGTAGCCCATCACTTCTGCCAGTCAATAAGTCCAGCCTACTCAGCTACTGTCTTGTTATCCAGCATTTCGCATATGCAAAGTAACGTTTCCACACTCCAGTACTTTGTGCATCTGGCAGAGAGAAATGCCATAGGAGCCGAGAGTTACACTGGCTGTGGTGGTGAAGGCCCTGTGTGAGCCTGGCTGGGTGGTCCTTCTCAGGAATGTGGCAGTTACATCGTGATGTGATTTGGCAACGATGTTAAGATGTAGTTATCTGTCATTTTGTTGCAAAATGCCAGTTTTTGCTCAGTGGCCTGGTTTTTGGAACCTATGCCAGGGAGGATTGGGTGTACCCTAGAGCATGAACATCAGGAGGCAGGACCGTATTAGAGGCTGGCCACCACAATCAATCACAAATGAATGCTAGTCATTTTTCTGTTGCAGACTGTCAAATGCATCCCTTCTGGTGCTACATTAAAATGAAGTGTGTAACGTGCATATAGAATAACTCATGAATTCCCACATATGAATTTGCCTAGGGTGTTTTTTCTACCATTCCTCCAATTCATAATTCCTCCCATTCCCATCTAGCACTCTTCTAATTTTTCTACTAAATATTAAAAGCTGAGGTCTCCAACTGTGTCTCAGAAGTATGTTAAAGTAAGTGTGCTAAATAAATGAAATGTCAAAAGTACACATGGTTAACTGCCGACAACCGGGCCGTGATGTGGAAGTTGATCTTCGTGTGATAATGGAAGATGCCCATATCAGAGCCTAAGAGGGTCAATGTCTACATCGTTATGTAACTGTGGAATGACGTCATCTATAACTGCCAAACCACAGAGGATCATGGCCCCACCCAGTTGACATGTGACCATGTCCCTTCACAGCCAGCGCTCGCCTCGTGCTTTGGCGTTCGTTTTTGCCGGACATAATGCTGTCATGGTGCAAAATGGATAGCAGGTTTTTTTTCACCCTCGGCATAATTGTAGAGGAATGAAAGAGTGGGTTATGCACATTTAAGTTTTTGTGATTCATGAGTGACAGGGAGGGTATAATTTCCTAAACCCATAAAGACTTCTCAGACTCACAAGCTGGTCTCCCTGTGTAACTCCCTGCCTTTTTTGGCATCCTGCAGCATCATCGCGAAGCATAAGGAGTTGGAGGGGACCAGCCAGGCATCTGCGGAATACCAGGTCTTACAGATTGTGTCGGCCATGGAGAACTACGGCATAGAGTGGCACTCTGTGAGGGACAGCGAGGGGCAGAGACTCCTCATCGGCGTCGGACCCGAGGGGATCTCCGTCTGCAAAGACGACTTCAGCCCCATTGATAGGTAACTCAAGCGCCCCCGGGTGCCTTCTTTTTCAGTTAGGCCTCGCATGCGTACAAAGGGAGAGTTCCATTTACCCTTTCATTCCATTTTTCCGTGAGCTCAATTACTAGCGCTGATCGTGACAGAGAAAATGGGAAGGGACGGACAGGACTGTCATCCCTGAGGAAGAGCAGGGCTCACTTTTGTATGGACATCAATATTTTCAGGCCTGGAGAAGCCACTTCACTATTTTTAAAATGTTAGCTCCGAGTGGACAGATAGGACAGTTACTATTTCACCAGTAAGCCATTCACCCTCATGAAAGCCTCATTTTTACACCCCCACATGGGCACAAGCAAATCTGGCTCCAGAGCCTCTCACAGGGGATGATGTGCGTTTGGCGGCAAACTGCAGAGGTGGCACTTTGAAGCCACTGGGCTTCCACTCATGGAGAGTTACCCTCTTAGACACCCACAGGGCAGTCCTACTCTGCCTCAGATGGTGGCTATGAGCCGGAACCGAGTCAGCTGCAGTGGGTGGGTTTTCAGTACGTACTTACGGGCTAAGGAGTCCCTGGGTAGTGCAGACTGTAGAGTGCTGAACTGAAAGGTGGAGGCACCTTGGAGAAAAGGCCGAGGAAACCACTTGCCCCAAATCAGCCACTGGAAACCCAGTGGCGCAAGGAGGGTCGTCATGAGCCCAGGCAGACTCGGCAACACCTGGTCCTGATTGTCACCTTGGTAGTACCAGCTACAGGGTCTGATTTCGCTCTTGGGTCATGAGCAAATGAGAAACCTCAAGTGGCACCCCAGCTCCTGACACACCCCTCCTCCAGAGTCGCTCATCCCTTGCTCCCTGTCTGCCAGGATCGCTTACCCTGTGGTGCAGATGGCCACCCAGTCGGGAAAGAACGTGTACTTGACAGTCACCAAGGAGTCGGGGAACAGCATCGTGCTCCTGTTTAAGATGATCAGCACCAGGGCAGCCAGCGGGCTCTACCGAGCTGTCACCGAAACGCACGCCTTCTATAGGTATGGGCACACCTGGTGGCAGCCGTCCTGCAGTATTGTAGATGCTTCATACCCTGTCCTGACATCTCCTGTGCCCCGCTGTCCGTGTGTGTAAGAACGCAGGCTGCTTCGGGCTTTGGGATCAGCGGTGGAGTCCTTATCAGCACAGCCCTGCTTCCCCAGAAGGTGCCTGTGTCTGAGCCACACAGATGGCCCGGCCCCTCCCACCTCCTCCCTGGCTTCCTCACACTGCCTCCCTGCCCGAGATCGCCTGGGCTTGGGCCTGCGCCTGTCCTTTCCCTGTGGGTGGCTTTGAGGCCTGCACCCTCAAGGCCTCATTGTGCAGTCAGCTTTTCTAATAAGAATATTGATACCCTCATTCATTACAGACAGTGCTCCACACCTCCACCCCACCCCCGCCTCAAGTAGGCTTCTGATTGGGCTCAAATATTTGGAAAACAAAAGCTAAGAAGTTTAATGGGTAGGCGATCTCCAGCACTTTTGATTTTAAAGTGCCCACGGACTGTGGAAGCGAATGGAAAACTTGTGGAAACATTTAAGATAAAAAGACTAGACTTCAAAGGGCAGTTCCCTTTGGGCTACTGATTGTAGCCCTGGAGGGGGGAGCTACCCTTGCACTGTGGCCTCTGGAAGGGCGGGGGAGGGTGGATTTTGGAAGCACTTGAGAACCATGGGGGTGGAAGCATTGCACTGTTTTAACATATGAAACTGGAAGGGCTGGCTGCCTTTCAAGCACACAGACAAGCATATCAAATGTCTGCTGCCAGGGCCATCCTTCTGAAGGCCGTGTTTTGAGGCCTGAGCTTCCCTGCACTGAGGCCATGCCCACTCTGGCCCCACAGGTGCGACACGGTGACCAGTGCCGTCATGATGCAGTACAGCCGGGACCTAAAGGGCCACTTGGCCTCGCTGTTTCTGAACGAAAATATCAACCTTGGTAAGAAGTACGTCTTTGACATCCGAAGAACATCCAAGGAGGTCTATGACCATGCCCGGAGGGCCCTTTACAATGCTGGTGTGGTGGACCTGGTCTCCAGGAGCGACCGCAGCCCCCCGAGCTCCCCGCTGAAGTCTGCCGACAGCAGCACAAACTGCAGCAGCTGCGAGGGCCTCAGCTGCCAGCAGACCCGGGCGCTGCAGGAGAAGCTGCGCAAGCTGAAGGAGGCACTGCTGTGCATGGCGTGCTGCGAGGAGGAGATCAACTCCACCTTCTGCCCCTGCGGCCACACTGTGTGCTGTGAGAGCTGCGCCATCCAGCTGCAGGTGAGTGAGCACACGGCTTTGCTAGCACCCGTGTGTGCACCAAGTTCTTCTTCCCCTGTGTGTTAGTCCGAGTGGACTAAAGAAACAAATCCAGAGACACTCACATGTGTGTAAGAGAGAACTTTATATGATTGAGCAATTGAACATTAAGAGAATGTTCCAGCCCAGTCCAGATCAAGTTCATAAGTCTGATATGAACCCGTTTGCCTAATACCAGTGTATACATTCCTCTTCAGACTCACGCAACACATGCAGTGACACTGGATGCAGGAAGATCACCGGCCAGTGGGTAGAAAGTCATGTGGATCCAGTGGCGGTGTGAGCATCTCAGTGCTGGCAGGGGTCTCCACGTGGCTCTTCCAGTTCCAGGGCTCTGCGGTAGCTCCGTGTGTCTTGTCAACAGGAAGACCAAGCCAAGAGTCTGTTTGTATCTGGGTCCCAGTGAGCTATTGATCTCTGTGGCGCCTCCAAATGAGCTCATCAAGCTGCCACCTGATTGACAGGCTAGACACCACCCCTCCGAAAGTTGACACCAGATTAGGGAACTACCACAACCTGGGAGGGTTCTTTATTAGCCCATGGCTTTAAAAGGCCGTGTCCTGGGAAGCATTCAGATCAGCAAACTAGTTTCAACAGCAGAGCTACTCTGAGGCAGGCCTGTTACAAGATCTGGAAAACCTCACTAGACAGATAAGGAAAGACGGAGCCAAGGTCCAGGATCTAGGCCTCGGGTACTTGCGCCCCAGGCCCTGACACTTTTGAAGATGAGTGTCATTATTGACTAACAATATCAGAGAATGAGTCCTTAGATTGGCCCGCATAAAGCGTTACAGTCTTGGAAACCCACAGGGCAGTTCCACCCTGTCCTAACAGGGTCGCTGTGAGCCGTAATCTACTCAATGGCAGAGAGGTTGCGTGTCAGCTACCCATGGGTAGGTTGTTGGTGATCATTGGTAACTGTAATTTGTTTTCCGACTGCAAAGGCCTCTGGGAGCCTGTTGTAAGTATTGCCAGTCAAACTAACTTTACTGTTCAATCTATGTAGCAAAAGTTAAACAAAAGCAATCCATCCATCGTAGTTTTTCCTTTCTGTGGCCTACATCTCCCCCAGCTCTGCCTTCATTTCTCAGAAATGAGCACTGGGTGCCATTAGGGTTTGATTCAAACCTGCCCGCAGTAGCATTTAGTTCTTTAGAAATGGCTACGTCCAGAACTAACATTCAGGCTGGACGGTGGGCCGGCAGGATGTCTGTGTGGCTCTACAGGAGAGGCTGTTTCCCTCAGATGAGGGATTTCCTCAGGAGCCCTCGGGGTTTGCCCTTCTCTGCCCACGTGTCCCTGCCCTTGTGGGAAGGCTCCCCAGAGAGCTAACAAGGGGCACGTGGCTGCCGAGAAGCCAACCAGGAGTGTTATCACCTGTGACTAGGAACAGAGCCACATAGCACTGGCCAGCGCGGGTTCGTCCCCTTGGCCCAGGATTCTCGGCTGAGCCAAGAACACCCAGTCTCTGAAGGGTTTCTTATGCTGCTGCCCAATTATCAGCTTACTTGAGCAAAGACAAGGGGTCTCCAGTAAAGGCCTCACCACTCCACCTTGCTTAGAGTTTGGCAAAAAAAACTCATTTTCTTTAACGTGTGCTTTGTCCTCTTTGAAATATTTATTCTCAGTCCCTTGTAAGGTATCTGCATCTCCATATTGGTTAGCAAACAAAGGTCTCTGCCTAAGCAGGTCAGAACGAATTTGGAAAGCCTACTGTAATGTGGAAGGAGCCGTGGTGGCACTGTGGGTTAGGCATCTGGTTGCTAACTGCAAGGTGGGTGGTTCAAACCCACCAAGGCACTCTGAGAGGGCAAGACGAGACTGTCTGCCCTCATAAAGACTTACAGCCTCTGCAAGCCCAGGGAACAGTTCTCTGTCCTTTTGGGTCACAAGGCATCGGAACGGACTCAGTGGCAGTGGGTGGAATGTAGTGTGGACCCAGGGTGAAGAGGAAGACCCAGGTCCAGAAGGGTTTTCTAACGGGCGTTGTGGCTTCTCTTTTTCAGTCCTGTCCGGTGTGCAGATCGCACGTGGAACACGTTCAGCACGTCTACCTGCCAACCCACACCAGCCTCCTCAATCTGGCTGTCATCTAATCCAGCGGGTGTTTCTCTGACATCCCTGGTGCCACGAACTGTATTATGAACTGTACAAATAAGAGATGGTGGAGAGAAGTATGCCGACACCCATTTGCCATGTGAAGTTTGTTTTAAAAAGGAAGGCAAGAAGAACACAGCGCCCCTCGCTGCAGAAACACCCCTCCCACCCCGTGTGGAAGCAAGCACGCTGGTGGGGGGGGGTGGCTGGGGGTGTAGGCCCCCGGCACCTGCCCAGGACTTCCTTTTGCTTTCCATGCTGGAGGAAAGGAGTAGGCAAAGTCCTCTTCGATGTCAGTTAAGTGGCACAGTCGCCAGCAAGTGAGACCATTCAGGGGGTTGTGTCGTGAACGCTGCGTGGTGTATCCCGCGGTCAGTTCCCTCACGCGCAGGGAATATGTGTAAGAATGGGTTTTAAGAGTTTACCGGGTTCCTCTTCTGTGGTCATGGAGCTCCGAACATTTTTTAATAGGAACCGTTTTCTCAAAGACCTCGCCGTCCTCTGAATGCCATTTCTGTTTTCTTGACTTGTCTGAGAAGGACGGGAAGGTGCACGGATTCTGAAAACGGGCCCAGTGACCTTCGAGAAAGTTGGCGAGCAAGAGTGGTCAGAATGAAACCAGACTGGCCAGCCCCAGACGGGGAACTCAGGTGGATGGCTTGTGCTTCGCCTTTCCTCTCCCAGCCGCCCCCGGCCAACCTCTCCTTCGGTTCTGAAGTGCTGCCCACCGGGGTTGCGGTGGGGCAGCCAAGCACTCCCTGGATAGCTTACTGTGCAAGTTGGAAGTGGGCAGGGGAGCCCCCACCACCACCACCCCCCACCCCCCCCCACCCCGAGCAGAACCTGCGGTGGGAGCAGTGCAGCTCTCCCCAGCCCTGCTCCAGCCTCACCTGGGCGTGTCTCCCGCTTGAACTCTCCAGCCACTACAGCCTTATCGTCAGTATCTTAGACGGTGGATACTTGGGGGAGAGGGGGTGAATTAAGTATTAACTTTTGGTTGTCCCTCTATGTGTTTGTCTGGGGATGGGGTCCGCTTCGTTTTCTTTCTGTCTCCTGCGGCGTGTTTTCCACTCCCACCTGGGCATTTTGGATTCTGGTCAGCTAGTGGGTTTTCAAGGACGTAGGGAAACCTAGGTGACCTTGATCGGGTGCAATACTAGCTACATTACAGCTAGGAACCTACACTGTCACTTTACTGAGATTTCTGAGTAGACTTTTCATATGGCCTTAATGTAGCAGTAATGTGTTTATGCATTTGTTTCTTTGCACAGACATTTTTGTCAGATATTAAAACTCTACTTTTTTATGGCACATATTAGCATATAAGCCTTTATTCCGAGAAGTATTTATTTTTTCACTTGTAAAAAATAATAATAATAATGTTTCCACATAAAAAGCTCTGTTATATCCTAGAGAACTGCTGTCTTTTACATTCAGGATAATAAACCTTACAGCCAGCATGGTGTCGGTGTTATCATTGAAGCCAAGTAAAGCTCACGGAGAGACGAGCGTTGACGTACATCACGGCCGGTCGCTGAACCGGCCCAGCACACCGAGTTTGGAAGTGTTGCGGGCAATTTGGCTGCAATTGAACAGAGCGTTTCCCCCATATTACCACTCATCTTGTGTGTGTGTGTGGGTGTGAAGTGGGATAATGCGCATGAACAGAGGAAGAGTCAAGGCCGGGAAATGCACTGGAAGTGACAGCGAAGGAAGGGGATGATGAGATTGGGCCTTGAAAACGTGAAAACTCAGCCAGTATATGTCCTGGTCAGGGCAGGCGGGGGCCAGTCCATTCCAGCAGATGGCTAGCCTGTTGGTGCTGGGACCTCACTCTGCCAAGCATGCCAATGTTTGCTAATTTATGTTGTCCAGTAAAGACTTTGTGTGTAATACACTGAGGATTCAAAAAGGAAAGGCGTGGGAAACTTCCACTATCTTTTAATCCGTTTGTTTGTTTGTTTTTTCTACAAACGGTTGAAGGGCTGTTGTGTGGACCTCTCAGTGGGTCACTCTCAGTAGCCATTGAAGGACTCATCGCCGTCCACTCAGTGGTGACTCACAGCAGCCCTCTCTAGGGCAGAATCCAAAGAATTTGGGGAGGGAATTTGTTTTGGTTCTATGTTTGTTTCTCCTTACTATATACCAGTGAGTAAAGACTATACTATAAAGACTAGGCTAGACTATAAATACTGTACTATATACCCATTGATTCAATTTTCTACCAAGTCCTAGGAACAGATTCATGAGTTCATTCGGTACATTTCTTGGACACCTACTAAGTTAATACTGAGCACTGGGAATATGATGGGGATCGAGGCACGGATCACTCAGAATGCCTATGTTATGTACTTGGCTTCTCATACACGATTGTCTCACAGGAGGAAGGCTAATTAAAATTCAAAGATCAGAGACTGTTAGCACTGGAGAGGATACTAAACATGGTAGTCTCACAGTGTTCGGTGGATGGATGGGTGGATGGAAGCCAGGCCCACAGGAAGCTAAGATAAATCCACTGTCCCAGAGGTCCGTAAGCTTTTTAAACGGGGCCAGTTCACTGTCCCTCAGGCCCGTTGGAGGGCCGGACTATAGTTTTAAAAAAAAACTAGGAACAAATTCCTATGCACACTGCACATATCTTATTTTGAAGTAAAAAAGCAAACGGGGCAAAAACACCCGGC